CAAGAAGTCTAGATTTTCGTACACTGCTTTTCTTAACAAAAGGTGCATAATTGCAGTGATCATCACAGTGTGTGTGGCTGTGCAGAATGGAAACATGCCATTGAGTGAACTGTCTGTCTGTCTTTACTTATTTGGAAGGTGTTCATTGTTGTCTGTCTCACTTTTTGAAAGTGTATTTACAACATTGCCTCTAGTCTAAGCATTTTAATCTTTTCTCTCCCTTTGAAACCATATCAATTTTGGGGATTTCACAATTCCACAGAATATTGTATTCTCATTGGGTCTATTCCTTCTTATCTGCCAGATCTGCAGAAGTAGAGAATTACTTGTTGGTTAGTAATTCCAACAATTATTTGTTGGTTAGTGTTATAAATGCCAGCTTTATGGAGTTTCAAATTTGGGTTCTCTGTCAATACCTGCAATTTGCACGTATTCTTCTAGCTTCTATAAAAATCTGTGGCAACTTTATTGCTAGATTTTCTATAGTCTCTATATTTTGTTTGAATGGCTTTTTGATATGTATAAAGTGAAGAGGGAATCACAGAAGTCTTATTAACTGGCATGGTGTTTCTTTTTTCTGTTAAAATAGGTTAAAAATATTTTCATGAAATAGCAATTAAACTGTATTGACAATATGAAGAAAATCTTAAGGTTGGTTAAGATTAATAACTAGAGATGATGTTAAGCATGACTTGCATTAGCATGTGCTTTGCAGTTCTCCAAGGGCAGTTCTAAATCATACATATGTTGCATGAAAAAGATCAGGATTGGTTCAGACAGTTGGTGAAAACTTGCTTCTTTAATGTTCCTCTTTAGAAGACCACTCAGTGCTAGGATGACATTTACCATTCATTTGAAGATGCTAAAAGATGTAAAGAATGAGTAGCTTTATGTGAACAAGCTGTGTGATGTACTGACATATGTTGGCTTTTACTAGGATCCTACGACACATTGAATATTCTTCTCTTTCTCATTTTGAACAGGAAATCTCAATCTGATTTTTCCATCCTTTCCTCCTACCCCACTGTTGCAAACTCCCTCATTTCTAACAACATCTGTGACTCAGCTTGCAGTTGTACAAAACAAAAGCTGGCTGCACACTGAAACCCCCAAATGTGAGGACACACAGAATAAAGGGAATACTAAAATAAACCAGACAGGAAGCTACTGCACCCACTGTGTTATTCATTACTACACCTAATTCACTGAAATCCTCCAAAGATGCATGGGGCTTCTGGACTGTGACAACAGAATGCCATGCAATAAAGAGACTTTACTTCAGAATGTAGGTCCTGTTTGCTGTAGAATATATTATCCTTATTTATTATCTCTTCCTTTAACAATGATTAAGAGAAAAGAAATGGTGGTACACAAAGAATATTATCTTTAGAAAAATAATTATTATAATAAGGGGGTTCAAGTAGAGGTACTTTAAATGATGTAGATTTGTACACTTGTGAGCACTTTTTATTTCCTAATTCCCAATTTCATGTGCTCCTTAGATTTAACAGCTTCCTTAAGTCTAAGAAAAATATCATCTGTGCAAAGGGAGCTTTAGAGAGTAGCATGAACTATGTGCATGTGGTGTCTCATACAAAAGGACTGCCATGTCAGGACACTGAACCATTTCTGAATAGTAGGCAAACAGAAGGGAAATACTATAGAAAATAATTAATTCCTCATGTAGGTGCAGTAAAGCCAATCAGCTTACACTGAAATGAATTTGTTTTAATGGAACAGATCCTGTCCTACAGTCCAAACTCTGTCTAATGTTAAGGTAATGAAAAGAAAGAAGAAGTCTCCTGCAAGTCCCCTACTGGGGATTCACCTGCTCCTGTCCCTTCCTTCCTGAAGTCTCCTGCCAAAGAGGTGCTAGATACAGGCAATGGGATCAGTGAGCACTCAAAGAAGTGATGTTTTATCATGCGACTGGCTCCCTGAAAGTGCTCTATAGCTGTACCCTGACAGAAGTGCATGGCTGCAGAGCAAAAGTGCCTGATCATGTGACAAATTAACCCTCATATAATGTAGGTTCAGATGAAGGTGCTCTAAAGTAGAGCACCTTCATTAACTTCTGTCAGTCCCTGTGTGTGAGCAGGACTGGACTGATGCAGCCCAGCCACACTCCTGGTGCTGTCTGCAGGATAGGAGGGGGAGAAGGTAGGGGGAGGGAGCTGTGGGCTGGGGTTTGCCCAGCCTGTGCTGGAGTGGGGGAGGGTAGGCTGGAGCACCTCTCTGAAGTGAGGGGCTGCAAGCCACCCTCCCCACCCCCAGCACAGGCTGGGCAAATCCCAGCCTGCAGCTATCTCCCCCTCCCTTTTGCCTCTCCCATTTTGCAGACTACATTGGAGGGAGAGGTTGAAGTGTGGGGAGGAGGTGTCTAGGGGATAGAGGCTGCAGACACACAGCTCCTCCTGGATTGGCTCCGAAGTGTAGCTTAATCGCCCCCCCACTTCCTCCCCTGACCCAACAGCAAATGTCTATTGGGTTGGGGGGGAGGGGGCGGGCGTGCATGGAGAAGAGGTCACTGTAACTCATAGCACTTCATATAAAGTGCCATGAGTTATAGTGGGGAGCTGCATGTCTGTCAGTGCCCAGTGACTACAGTATAATAGATTCCAGCTATGCACTTCAACCATGCCCTGCTGGTGCAGCTTAGTGCAGTTCCCCAGGTGACCTAACCTGTGCCAAAACTAGTAAGAAAGAAAGGAGTCAGAATTGCCTTGCTTTAAAATTTATCCTTATCTCTGCTTTGCCCAATAGAGGTGGATATGGTTTATGTCATTACATACTATATAACCATCAGGACACAGGGTAATTGGGTGGGACTAGCATCAGGTACTGCAGAATAAATGCTTAATGGAGAAAGTGAAATTGAAACCTTTTGTGTTCTGGAACAGGTCTTGGGAAGTGCAGCAGAGCAAATAATTATGTAGGAGTCTGAGGATCATGGAAGAGTTTTAAAAATATCCTTCCTGTGATCCTGGATATGTTAGTTAGTGATGGAATTAGAAAGAAAGAACTTCTGCTTAGACTGGAGCAGTCTGCCAGTCAGACAATTTTGCTGTCTGAGTTGGCTTTAATTCGACTGATGATGTTACCAAAGAGATTTAATTTTCACAACTAAAGCATGCATTAAAGCAAATTGTCAGAATTACTGAAACCTGCAAAAATCTAGCTACGAAATGTGTGACATGAATCAGAAGATGGTCATAAAGCTAGTGGCTTCTGCATGAAAACATATAATACTGAATTGGATCAACAATACAGGAATTTATCAGTTTTAAATACACAACAAAAACATAAAAAGGAATACAGTGTCTTAGCCTACAATTTATTTCTCTTATGTGATATAATATGTTGCTAGTTTGTAAATATTTTGGTAAAAGTGCTTAAGTATACTTTTTCCTATTGTACCACATGTTTACTACTTTAATTCAATGGTTGAATTGGTAGCTAATTATAATTTGACAAGAAAAAGAGATTAGAACATATGCAGTTTACATGTTCAACAATTTAATTATTATGTGGCTGGCTTAGTTTAAAGTGTTTCATATCTTGTCCATACTAACTCTAGAATATTTATAGGAATGAGGACATACATTTTTAGGAAATGATTTTCATATCTCTCAAAATTTTCACAGAAGCCCTTTATGGTTGGGGGAGGGACAGGTTTGATGTCTGCCTACCACCTGACATTCAGGTGTTAAAATAGCCTTGGGTTGTACAATCCAATATAAACCAGCAATATTCTATCCAGAGACACAACTATGTAGTCAATGATTATTAAAGTGACATATTCTTCAAGCATTTGAGAATACAACTGCCATCACAAATAAAGTCACATGGCTCTGTATACTTCTGTAGGCACCCCACACAAACTCACATGCCCACACAAATGAACACACGCAAAAAGGGTTCTCTCCCCCACCTTGCAACTTTTTCAGAAATGGACAACTGGATATGTAAAAAGTTCTCTTCTTTCATTCTTATGCTCATCAGTCATTAAAGGGTTTCTTTTCAGAGCAGCACAAAATAAGAAGAGCTGGTTGACAAAACATTTTTTCTTTACAAAGATGTGTCAACCCTGAGCTTGTAATTAAGAAGTTAAAATCTGTGATTTATATATATATTTATATATATAAAAATAGATGATCATACTAAGACTAAAAAAGTGAAAGAAATCTCCATGTCAGTACTATATATTTCTTTGTCTTGACTTTTTGTAGCAAAGTACCCCTTGTGATACAGAAAGTAATTGACACAAAGGATGTAGTTATATGTGAACCTCACTGATTGATCCAATCACCATTCCCAGTCCATTAGAGAACTGTCATCTTGGTAGGATAATGAATACAGTAGCAGAAAATTCTAATCCATGTCAAAACTGTGGCAAAAGGAAAGAGATTATATCACAAGAGATAATTTTATGTCCAAACCCTTGTCGGAAGATTTGTTGGTTAGCATAGCCACCTTTGTTGATGGGAAGCTAGAAATCTGTGCCAAATATATAACATGGATAAATACTGAAAACAGCTAAGAGAAATACTGCCACTACTCAAATGTTTACTGGGCATTATGATTTAAATCCTATGCAACTGTAGCATGATACTCTGAGCCTTGTGGTGTTACTGTAATGTCAAAAGATATGGGTACGCTTCTTTTTTAAGCTTCTTTACTTTCATACCAATTTGATGTTGTTGGGAGATGGAGTGCAAGACATTCACCACTGAGACATACTTTTATCTTTGTGTTAGAAAAAATTCGGACTTCCTCACAACAGTAATGATCATTTGATGACCCTATAGAAGCTCCTAAAGGAGGCCTGGCTGTCAGTAGAGAACTTTTGCATTTTTGTTCCTTTTTTGTCTTTTTTGTTGTTGTTCTTTGTTGAAAATGCAGCAGTCTTCGGTTTGGCCTGATTTAGAAGGAAAATTGTTCTCTTTGTTTGTTTCTTTTTTTTTTCTTTTTTGTTAAGGAAAAACATATACTGTAAGATCCCTTTACAGCTGCAGCATAAAAGAAAATGAAGCTCAGAAAGTCTCCTGTAATAAAGGTTTGAGAAAGAACGCTGAGTGACGTTGTCTTCAGACATTTCTGAAAAAAAGAGGAAGCAGTTCATTCTGGCACCTCGTACTCTTTGGGAAAACAAAAAGGAAAGTAGGTTGCAGTACTGCTCTCTTTTCATAGAAAACGGTAAGTATTTGTGGCACGGTCCTTTGTCCAAAAGTGTAAGAAAAGAAGAAAGTTGGCTGTTTTTGTAGCTAAAACACAGTCTCTCTGACCAGATCTAGGATTATCTCCATTGTTTCTGCAGTACAAGGATAATGCAGAGCATGAACAATGTAAGGAGTGACTGGCTAGATTGGGTTGCTGAAGAGTCCACTTCTCTTCTGTCTGAGTCAACAGGTGGAGCTTCAGTAGTGATGAAGTCAAACTCAGTAGGACAGATGTCATCAGTACAACCACTTCCACTTCCTGAGCCACTGGTTTCATCACCTAGCACAGGGAGGTGAGAAAAACAAACATAGGGATTGATTAAAACACTCATCCCACAGATCCGTTGTCTTGTCCTTCAAAAACAGCCAACGATCATAGGATTATCAGTGGGGTAAGCTCTAAATGTACTGGAAGGGTGATGAAGTAAGACTATTCCACAAATAATTAAGAATTTTTTTTCACTTTTTAACCTACATTTATGCTTTTTCTAATATATGTTTGCTCCTTTTAATTAGCCATTTTGTATGAGATAGGCTGTAAGCTGTGTGCCTGTGCTGCAAAACAAGCCAATATCATACTGAGCTATATTAATAGGAGTTTGCAAGTCAAGGGAAGTAATTTTTTTTTCTATTCAACTCTAGTGAGGCCTCACCAGGAGTGTTATATCCAGTTTTAGAAACCACACTTCAAGACAGAAGTGAACAAATTAGAAAAAATTGGTTCTCTCTGACAGAAAAAAAAAATCCCCAATTTATATTTATGTTATGTGTAAGTGGTATTTCATTTTAATCATGGAAAAATGTGGATTTTGGGTTACTATTTTAAACCCGAAAATTGGGGATTTTTTTTATCAGAGAAAACTAGGATCCCTGGTTATTGTTGCCCTCAGTCTTCTCTTCTACAGACTAAATTCTTCCAAAATTTTTTGTAAGTTATGTTTCCCAGACCTCTAATCATTTTTTTTGCTCTCTGATTGACTGATTTCATTTCTGTCTTGAAGTGTGGTGCCCAAAACTAGATATTATCAGAAAACCAGGATCCCTGTTAATGCCTGAAGGGTGATGATAAAGAGAATGCTGTATGGCTAAAACTGCAACAATAGAAATTTAAGTTGGAGGGAAGAACTTTCTAATTATGAGGATGGTTAATCAATGAAATAAATTACTTAGAGGGGGTGTGAAACTTTTGTAACTGGAAGTTTTTAAGAGTAGGTTAGACAAACACTTGTCCTGAATGATTCAGATAGGAATGACCTTGCCTTGAGCAGAGAGTTGAACTACTAGATGTCCTGAGGTCTCTTCTAGACCTATTTTTCTATTATTCTATTGAATCTGTCAATTATCTATCCAGATGTACATTTACCTTTGAAGCAACAAATGGCTTCTTCCTAGAAAATCCCAACCCTCTCTTGTGGTTGTTCATCAATGGCCTCTACAGTTGTTAAGGACTAGATTTTAATCTTTGATTAGCAAAAGGTAACTAAGGAAGTTCATTTCTGAGGGTCTGCTGCATCACATCTTAATGTAACAGGCACAGCTGTGATTCTACAGGGAAGAGCCTGATAAGGCAGGATCTTTAATGAGCTTGTTATCCAGCAAATTTTGAGAGGAAATAACAACACAGGAGTGATTTTAGCCCTTGCTTTCCTGGTAAAGCTGCATCAAATAAAACAATTGATTAAATTAATGAAAACTTCCTTGAATACACTTTTATTATGGTTTAACAGCAGCTAATTTTGGTTAGATTACAGCAGCTCCCAATAAATTTAAAATAATCTGAAAAGAACCCATTTAAAACCCAAATAGGTGGCTGCATCAGTTAAATCAACACCATTTAACCTATAACATTCAATGAAGACTTTAGGCTGAGGTGGTATAACATTGTTCTGTAGACAAGTCATTGTATTCTTTTTCTATTGCAATGCAGGGCTACGTAAAATAAACCATAATTAACAGATTAATATACTGAAGGAAAGATTCTATCATAGAATCATTTATGAATTTCTTTGGAAGATTTTTTTTTCTCTAAATCCAGTAGTGTAACTAGAGTGGGATGACTGGGGCACCAGTCCCAGGCAGGTGCTGACTATGAGTGGGCACTGGAATTACGCCCAGGAGCCTTTGCCAGCACAGCACCACATCAAGTGGTATATTGGGGTGGAGGGGAGTGGAAAATAGTGAGTGGAATAGAGCTTCCTTCATACTACCCCCTGAGGAGCCTTTGCTAGAGGAGGTACAGCCCTACACTCAGTATGCATGTATCATGGGAAAAGAGGGGAAGGAGAAAATGAGGCACCAGGATTATCTTGCAGGGAGCCCTGCCATGAGGCTACTGCTGCTGGAGCAGAGCTGATGCTGCTACAATAGTAGCAGTGGCAGTGGAAGCAGTAGCTCCAATGAGTAAGCCTTCCCTTTCCCCCACTCATGTCCTCCTTGTCTACAGTGGTTGGCATACCCCTGTGTCTCCCCACACTGCCTTGGGAGCTCAGTGAGATGGCTATGCATCTGACTAATTCAGTAGCTTACTTGTATCCTGGAAGTTCACATCATTCCCATTGTATGCATTCTTCAGTTTGTTTGTCATGACTCGTAGGGCCATGATTTGTTGACGAATGAAGGTGTCTGGCCTTGTGATGTCCACATCTACCTCTGGATTGTTGATCTGGTTGGTCAGCCCATCGTTCATAATCTCAGGTAGGTATCTATAGAAAAGAATGAACCACTGACTCAGTATATAACCAATGACTGCTGGGGTAGGGTAGGTAACCTTTTCCAGCTACAGGACAGAACAACCCAGCCCAGGTCAGAGGTGGGCAGGTGTAATTGACTCAGAACCATTATATAATTGACTCAGAATCATTGACTCACTCCTCTCAGAGATGAGAAATGTAGAGCAAAGTCCAGGCTAAGCAATTTGCTAATATTCACTGTCTTAAACATTTTCTATGTAGAAAAAAGCCTCAGTTAATTTATCAGTGTAACAGTTACCTTTTTTTAAAGAGGCTGGACACATGGAAAAAAGGAGCAGTTAGTCACATCTAACTCGCTAACTCTTCGCATCCGTATCAGGATATATTCTGCCTCTGAAAACCACAGTAAAGATTTATCAAGTCCTCAGCTAGTGTAAAACAAGTATTTCCCCCAAAATTTTCCTCGGTGAAGTACACAAGAGTCAGATACTGTTGTTCCCCTGTTACTAAAGCCACCAATTGCTGCTGGTTGCCACCACTTCCCCCACCACCCTGCACCAGCAGTTGCCATGTCTTGCCTAGGAACCTTTCATTCCTCCCCCACTCCTCAGAGGGTGTATCTCCCATGATTTGAGAAATGCTATATAAAAGAATGGAGTTCTTTTGAAGTTTGCTAATGTATAACAGAGAATCTAACCCTATTGATTTTTGTAGTTTTTTTAATGTTTTACCCCCTTGTTATGTAAAGATATTATACCCTTATGTAGGTAATTTGGAAAAAATTATAATGTGAATTTGGTCTGTAGGTTAAGTAAGCCATTATTATTTTTCCAGCCTTTCCCTCTCCAAGCTTTTTTATTGATCAGTGGACAACAGCAACTTCCTGCTTGTCATTCATGTTTCTAATGGAAGAGCCATCCTTGACTGGCACCTATTTGTAGTTTCTCGCATCCAGGCTACAAACATGTCTTACAAACTCTTTCTACATACCATCTATAAGAGATAGCCTTTCATATCCATCTGCAGAACTAAAACTTAAGCCCATGCCTTTATCATCTCATCTTTCTTACTGTTGCATGTTTTTCTCTCTTTTGTCTTGACAATTTTTTTTGCCCTGTTTGTATCCATTCAGAATGCTTCTGCAAAGATCATCTTATTCACCTCCTGGTTTGACTCATGCCATCCATCTCTCTGGTTCTTTCCAGTAGTTCTATCTGCTTATTCAAACATAAACTGCTTATCTTAACCTCTAAGTTCCTTCATAGCCCATTCCTATCTTCCCTATCATCTCTCATTGACTACTGAAATATCACCTCCCACCTCAAGTGATCCCAGTCTCCATAATCTAGCTGCTTCCTAACAAGTCAGCCCCCAGCCTGTAGCAGTGCATGAGATTGTTCTATCCTACATGCAGGACTTTGAACTTCTTATTGAACCCCATGAGATTTCTTTTGGTCCAATCCTTCGATTTGTTGAGATCTCTCTGAATCCTAGCCCTATGCTCAGCAAATCTACTATTCTTCCCAGCTTGGTGTCATCTGCAAATTTGCTGAGGATGCGCTTTATCTTATTTTCCAGGTCACTGATGAAAATATTGAGCAAAACCAGTTCCCAAGACCAATCCCTGGGGCACTCTATTTGATACTGGCTGCCAACTAGACATCAAACCATTGACTACTACCCTCTGAGCCTGATGATCCAGCCAGTTTTCTGTCTACCTTACAGTTATTCATCAAACCAACCCATACTTCCTTAGCTTGCTTGCAAGAATGCTGTGAGATGGTCAGACGTGACTTGCCCTTGGTGAATCCATGCTGACTGTTACTAATCACCTTCTTCTCCTCCAAGTGCTTAGAAATGGATTCCTTGAGGACCTGCTCCATGATTTTTCCAGGGACTGAGGTAAGGCTGATATGCCTGTAGTTCCCTGGATCCTCCTTCTTCCCTTTCTTTGCACTTTTCCAATTGTCTGGGAATCATGAGTTACCATGAGTTTTCAAAGATGATGGCCAGTGGCTCTGCAATCGCATCAGCCAACTACCTTAGCATCCTCAGGTATATCGCATCCAGCCCATGGACTTGTACACATCCAGCCTTTGTAAATAGTCCCTAACCTGTTCTTTTGCCACTATTGGCTTCTCACCTCCTTCCCAAACTGTGCTGCCAGGTGCAGTAGTCTGGGAGCTGACTTTGCCGTGAAGAGTGAAGTGAAAAAGGCATTGAGTACTTCAGCCTTTTTTTCCATTCTCTGTCACTAGACTGCCTCCCCATTTAGTAAAGGACCCACACTTTCCTTTATATGGCTGTGGTCCTAGGTGGCCCGCGATCTTGAGGGGGTGAGCCATGAGGAAATTGGGAAGGTTCTTCAAATACACAGCCTGTGATGTTTGCCTCTCTCCCACCATGCAGTGTTTCCTTGATATATATCAAGAGGTTAATGCAGGCTGGGTACTATCTTTCTTTACTGACTCAGTGGGTCTTCTTCATGGGGCTCCTCCTCCCCTTACACCCCACTCTTACCATGTCCAAACAGATGAAGATTGTCTGCGTCCTGATGATCACTGAAGTCAACCGACTGTTAGTGGTCCCTTGTAGTTGCAGCTTAGCTGCGTCACCTTCGGTCTGCAACCCAGTCAAATCTGGGCCATAGATAGTTTGTCTCTGGCTCTTTTGTAGTACCTGTCATTTAACTTTTAATCAGCCCACGCAAAGCCACAACAGCAGCAAATTTGAATCAATCTGATGCTTGAGTATAAACCAAACAATCCATCCTGAATCTCAGAAATCAGTGAATGCAAAATCAATTCGCCCTTCCACATGGGCTTATCAGTTTCTACTAATGGGTTCTCATAAAAGAACAGTCCAGAACCAAGGCAAACTCAAATCACTTTCCTCCTGGAGTTAGTTTTTCAATTCATAAGTAGTCCTTCCCTCAATTATGTGAATAAACAAAGCGTCTCTCCTTTGTTCCTTCTCCTTTTAACACAGTCCAGAAGGGAAAAGGATAAAGGAAAATCCATTCAGAAAACAAAAAACAAACAAAGCTTGGCTTGTAAAGAAAGGGGTATGGCCCCTTTAAGACTCACAGTTTGGAGCTGCTTTCTCACTTTCACTTTCTCCCTGCATCTCACTGTCTCTGCTGAGCCAGTTGGCTTCCCAGCCAGCTGAGTCCTGGGCCTGGTTAGGGGTCTTCTGACCCTTTCGTTCTGGACTCCTGGCCCTTCTCCAATGTCCTCTGCAGGAGAATGACAGTTCCAACTACTTCCAGTTCCCATCACCATCCTCTGCAGCTGCTCCCCCATGCTCTGTCCTTCTTCCAGGTCTGAAATGCCAACACCTGCATTCTTCCTTCCAATCCTGAAGGAGCAGGTGCTACAAAACCTTGGTGGCTGAGCCTTCTTCTCAGGTCTGCTTCCCCCTGCACCAGAGGTAAGTGTTGCTTCCTCCTCTCCCTCCCAGTTTTCCTCAGGTCCTCTTTGCTTCCCCTCACAAGTTTGAACATACTAAACAATATAAGACTGCTGGAAATAATCAGCTTCTTTTTCCTGATTATCCACTAGTACTGTAACAAGAGTTAACAAGGTTGTAATGAGGCTTTCTAGATACTTGCGGTCTATTCAGAAGTTAACGGTGGTGAAAAAACAGACGCACCTTCATAGCAGAGAAAATGGCAGACTGCAGGGTTATGAATCACTAAAGGCAGAAATTGAAGATAATATCTCAGAACAACCTGGAGGCAGCAGAACAGGAGCTCTGTGGCTTAGCTAAGCCCTAAGTTATATTTTACCTGAGCCTCTGGAGCAGCACATCCATTCATCAAATGTCTCCACAGCTGAAATACCTGGTGCGCATGCATTATTCTACTCCAGAGTAAAGCTGATGTAGTCAGACTGTGGGACAGCTGCCTTAAAAACAATTTTTTGGTTAGGCTACAGCTTTCCAGGAGCTCTGTTGTGATTCACCCAGTAATTGTTCACTGTGAGAATCATTTTGAAAATTCTGTTCCCACAAGGAAAAACAAATAAATAAAGTGTCCTTGCTACTTTTATCAGGACTGAAAGGAACCACCTGGCTCATCAAGTCCAATCCCCTCCATTTTTCAGGAAACCGTGTGATAGACATTGAGTCCAAGAGGGCAGAGGTATCCTGTCCCCTCTTACAAACACCAGAAGGCCACAAAGCACCTCTAGACTCTTACAACAAATTTAGCATATCTTGTTCAAAAAACTGAGGGCCTCAAAATTACCATGTACCAGGAAAAAAAAATAGGGGGAATGATTTTACCAGGAGAATGGGATTGAATGTAAGCTTTGTTAATGTTCTTATTGCTTAGACATCTCATCCAGTGCTGGATGAGAGGCCTTAATGTTCCTCTGGGTAGGGGAGTAGGAAGAAATTGGTGCAGACAGCTTGCAATTAAATTGCTGTTCAGAAAAACACTCATGAATGAAAGGTCCATCCAGTTCATGCTCCAAAGAAACAATATAGATTTTAAAAAGGAAGTCCCATCTCTAGTCTCCTATAGCAACAAAAACAGGGTAATCTTGCAATTTTGGTAAATAAGTCTTAACTGACGGAGGAGGAAACCTATCCCCAAGGAAATCTATCAAACTTCAAAATACTCCCAAAGTGACAAAAAGATTGAATCATGGCTGGGAATTCAAGGGGCTGCCCTCACTTCCTGAAAGTTTATTTCTTCCTCTGTGATTCTGCCTTTCTTTAACACCAAACAATGATCATGAAAGGAGTCTTCCTAGTGCCATAGCAGATGATATTAGGAACTATCAGATGAACTTCTGTAAGGGATAAACACCTCATGGTATTCAGAACAAAATGCAAAGCTCATTTCTTCTGTTTTGCCAGCTGTTCCATCTCCTGCACATGCACAGAGGCAAACAAACTACAAAATATAGCATACATTTCTCTTACAGGCTGTGAAAAAAGAAAGAAGGAGTCCTATTATAATGATTTTTAACTATGTGGAAAGCACACAGATTTTACAGCAGTAAAGG